GAACTAGATGTGAATTATTACATAAAAACAGAGAATCCGACGCTGAACAGTGAAAAATCAACACGATGTGAAGGCGGCGCAGCAGGTGATGAGTGAAGATTACTGATGGTCAATAAATGATAAAATAAATCTAGCAACATGACAGAAACTAAAGTGGTTATAGCAATAAACCAAGAGAGGACAATACTAATCAAAGGAAACTAAATGGAAATGAATGAAGAAAAAAAATGCAAGAATAAACTAAGAAACTAAAGTAAATACGGAGGAATAAACTGGTATGGCAAGACCTTTCGATCAATAATTAATACAGAGGACTGTATGGCAAGAATAAACACACCATTTTCAGATAAAAAGTAAAATAATATTGTTGAAATGTCATGGGTTTGGTGAGACCACATCTAGTACTGAGAATAAATATATCTTACAGACCATAACAGTAAAGAACTGATCACTTATTTATGTTTTTAATTAGATTTGATATATTTATTTCTTCAATATTATTTTTCATGTCAGTGTTAATGTCATGAGGCTGATGACTCCATGACACTTTCAATTTGACTCATTAGGATTTGACTAAGAACCAGATTTGTTCTTTGTAATTTCTGTCCAGTAAAACTATTAATCTATAATCAATAGACAGGTCTATATAAAGATATAATCCATGTTTCTGTCTCATATTTGTATGGCATTAAAAGGACCTGGAACTTTTGTTTTTCCACTGAAAGCTCTGGTTTGCACAATAAATGCCATGTGGATGAACTTTTATGGCTGAAACTCTGATGTCCCATTCTCCTGAAGGCAGCACAGAGCTGCACCACCAGAAACTCAGAAACACTGAAGAGAAGAAAAGTTATGATTAATGTAGTTACAGTTCTATCCATGTTTTAATGTTGCCGAGCTCAGTCGTTTTGCAAATAGATCAAAGTTTAAACTGGCATTGCTGAACATCTTTTATCTGATCATTTATTTAACAACTACAAAGTGGCACAGAACAAGAATATTTTTTTCCACTCTGATTGGCTGCTGTTAGGCCTACCAATTTTAACTTGAATGTTCATTGCATTTTTCATAGACGCCTGTGAAAATAATTTCTATTCCCATGACTTTTTTGTTCTCTGGGAAATTATTTTTGATGATAAATACAGAAACAAGCATAAAAATCAAAACATCTACAATAGTGATAGTAATATTAATAATAAAATAATAGTCAGTGCAAAGTAGCCTACAAATTCTGTGATGGGGCGGTGAGGGACCTGGATAATGGATAAGGGGGGGCTGGCCCAAAAACGGTTGAGAAGCACTGGTCCAGGGTTCATTAATAATGCAGCGCCTCTGTCGAAGGATCTGGTCAAATTTTATTTTAAAAGGAATCTCTCCTGTTGGAGCTCCTTTGAATCACTGCTTCAGCAAACTCTGTCAGCATCTGGAGGGATTTTCCAAAAGACATTTTGTATCGTTGAAGCGGAAAATTATTTTTTTACTTTTGTACTTAAGTACATTTCAAAACCTGAACTTTATACTTTTACTAAAGTGAATAGTTATGTTTATCAGTCTTTTTCAGCTAAGTATTTGTGCTTCTACTCAAGTAGATAATATGAGAACTTTTGAAATTTCTGATCAGATCAGATACTGACTTTGCCTGGACAGTAAAACAGATGGGATGGTTTTCTTCATCATCATATTGACTGAAAGACGGCGTCCATGTCAGGGTGAAATATCCTGAACCAGATGAACTCTTGGTCATGTTGAACGGTCCGCTGAACAGGAGCTCAGTGATCCTTTAACACACAGGAGACACATCAGTCTGGTTGGTTATATGTGCTAAATGACCTGAAAACATATTTTTATGAAGTAATTATCAAAATGCTCTGACAGATAAAAATAATTCGTGTCCAGGTTTCATGTGTTTTGGATCATTTGGCATCACTGTGTTATTTTAACACAATAAAGATCAAATTTCAGATTTTTACCATTGATTATTTAGAAGCTTACCTCTGATTAGAAACAACATTTATTTTCTACTCACTCAGACTGAGTCGCCTCTGCTCTGATGTTGATTTCTATCATCTCATTAACGTCTATGAAGAACTGAGCTCCATGTTCAGGAGTTGGAGGCAGAAACCTGGGCAGATATTCACCTGCTGTGCAGGACGGAGCTGCAGGATCCACTGGAGCAACGCAGGGAAAAATAATGCAGATCAAGTCATGAAACAGCAGAATTAAACTAACAACTGCTGTCAGTTTAAAGATAAATTCAGTAAATTTACACAGTTGTCCATCTGAGTTGTTCTAATAATGTGGGGTTTTCTTGTGTTAAATTCTTAATGATCAACTTTCAACAGATGATTATTGAATATTAAATTTATTCAGTGTTTCTCTTTGCAGTGAAGCAACATGATTGAAACATGAAATCAAACCTTTGAAAAGAAACTGGACGGGGATTCTGGTCATAGAACTGCTGGAGCTTTTCGACGTCGTTCCACTAGAGTAGTGAGTCAGAGTGATGATCTGTCTGGGAAAATCCTCCATCATCAGCTGAACTGCATATGAACCTTCATTGCTGCTGCTGGTTGGACTGAATGATAGAGAACAAGACTGGAAGAGAAGAGAGAGAGAAATCAAAGATTATAAATCAAATGTTATATTTATTGTTTTTCATTATAGCTTTTATTTGTGTTTGTTTTATTTGTGTTTGTTTACAGATAAAACAAACACAAATAATAATACTAAACTATTAATATTTTAATAACTTAAAATATTAAGTTATAAAACTGAATATTTGAGTATGAAAACAATTATTTTTTATAGATTTTTGGCAGTGAGAAGCAGGTTGCTGAATCATTTTATAGCTTAAAAATGTAATAGTGTTACATGAATGTATCCACAATGAAATGCAGTGAACTAATTTCAGATTTGTTTTTGATACTATTTAAGGCTTTTTCCCAAAAAAATCCTGGGTCATAAAAAGCCAAAAAGTATTTTTGCCAAATAAATTATGTGACCAATTATGTAAACAATAATTACATTAAAATTCTCGTAAGTCTTTATCTATTTTTGCACAAACTATTTACTAAAATCAGAGATTCCAACAAACTACAAATCTCTGTATTTCTCTCACTCCACCTTCAGACCGGATGGTTCTCACCTGTCAGGTTCTGTCCTGAAGCCAACAGTGGTTGCTTTACCATTTTGTCCACCAGGGGGCAGTGTTCACACACCTGAGTTTCAATCAACCTTTTGCTAGGCTGTAGCTACAGTGAAGCTCATAATGTGTTTCATTCAGTGGTGAAAGTAGCTTTGAATTCTTGGCGTTTCAATAACTAAAAACCATCATTGGCTCATTGTTCTCTGTCTCTCTATTCGTGTGTTTTACAAAGGAAAGTTCAAACCCAAACTAAAATGTATCAATGTTTTACTTTACTGCAGGCTACGCATTTCAGTCATTTCTAAGGCAGAAATTAGAAAACCTTGATGATATGAAAAAAATTAAATGTTAAGGTAGGCAGCTGGCATGTATGAATCAATGATATTAGCAGTTAAATCTTTAAAAGTCTGCAAATGTTTTATATGATCACATAATATGCTGTCCTGAATACCCTGGAAATCCCCTTTAACCTCCCATGTAGACACACACACACACACACACACACACACACACACACACCCACACACACACCCCCACACACACACACACACACACACATTTATCTCTCCATCTCTGTATCAAACCCTAAACTAAACCAAAACTCAACTCTCACATCAGTCTTAAATTTAACCCCTAACCATAAACTGCATTTCTCCTTGTTGTTCAGACCTTCTGCTTTTTCTCCCTCCTGTCAAACTGTCTCTCAGTTTGACTGGAGGATATTTACCTCCTCTCTTCTACCTGTGAACCTCACATGTTCCTTTCCTGTAACTTGACACCAACATTTATTACTTACCGATGAGAGACTGAGGACAGACGGAGGTGTGCAGGTGTAGCACTCGTTGCTGTTTGATCCATATCTGCATTGAACCTTGTCTCCATCAGGGTCAAAGGTCAACAAGCTGATATTTCTCTGACAGTTTGAGGGAACTCTGAGAGAACCAGAAGACAAACATCACATAATTATATCTGATATCAAATAATCTGTTAAAATGATTTGATTTACATTGAGGAGCTTCAGGATATTGACTGATTTGTGCCTCAGTGTTTTTCTTCCATCATTTTTTAGGTACTTAAACTCTTGTTTGAACATTGTTTCTTTGAGAAATTACAAAATGGTTCCTATGTTCATTATGTCTAATTTAATCTGCATTTCACAGAATAACATTTTTCACGACAAATCTTATTTCTAAGTATTTTTTAATGAATTATAAAATCTGGTTTTGTTTCCATGTAACTCTTTGGTCTCTGTTACAGATACGATTGGTTCGCAGTGTTTGGATCTCATTTTTCTTTACAAGAAAAAAGAACAAAAAAAAACTTCAGAATCAAAATACAGCTTATGCCCAATCAAAGGTATCAAAGGTTTCAGGTCCCTGGCAGCATATCTAGGTGGGCCCCATATGGGGAAAAGGAGGGCAGACCAGATGGGTCCCACATGGGTTTGTCCATTTAGGGCCACAGCCTACGTGGGCGCTACATGGACAAACCCATATGGGACCCATCTGGTCTGCCCTCCTTTTCCCCATATGGGGCCCAACTAGATATGCTGGCAGGGAGTATTTATTATTAACATGATATAAAAACTGAATTACCTCACAAGAGGAAGGATGCCGGTCTTTGGTGATGAGTTTGGTCTGTTGATGTCGGATCGTTTTCTCTCTTCAACAAACATCTGAGCGAGCCCAGATGTAACGCTGTTTCTGTTGTTTATCCAGGTGTTAGTATACCATCTTTAATAGAAGATATTGGGAAGATTTCTGATGTTACTTATAGTTTCTAAAACACAGAAAACCTTACAGAACAGCAGACCAGAAAACTGACAGGAGGAATTTTAGACTTCTTGGAAAAAACAGAAAATTATTAGATATATTTTTTCATGATGTTGAGATTCAGTCACCCAGAGTTGTAATTGTTGAAGTTTCTACTCTCCCACCAGGTGTACTCTCTCAGACACCATTCACCGCTGCTTTCATCGATCTTCTTACTACAGCCAGAGCACAGCCATGACTCAAGCTCCTCACATGAGCTGTAGCCAAACTTAAAGCGACGCACAGCCTGTAGATTTAAAGTGGAGAAGCGTTGGATACAAGACGATATATTTTCAAAAGGGAAAATAAAAGGAATTTCAGAAAATCTCAACTTACTGTAAACCTGCTTCCTTGTGTATATTTAGAGGTGTGAGAAAGCACAGCACCAGTATAACCAGCTTCTGTACGGCCGATTATCACCAGCAGCAGCACAAAGAGCAACATGATGAACGAATCAGTTCTGCTAAACTAAGATGGAATCATCAGGTAACCTTTGTGGCTCTGCTGTCGTAAGGTGCTTTGGTTATGCAAACGCCTGANCTTAAAATCACCAGTAACTAAAGGAGTTTGAATCATCAATGTATTGGGGATGAATTGACACATGCTTCCTCCTGGTGCAGACTCTTCCTTTTTGGTTGGTTGTGGGTACAAAACAACACAAATCTACAAAAATGTGAAATAACTAATGTTGGAACTCAATTAAAATTTTTAATAGTATTTTAATTAAAAACTATATATCAATAAAATAAGCAAGATTTTCAATGCCAAAACCCTTTTCTGCTAAATTATTCAATACATACACATATGAGCTCAACAACAAAGATATTTAATATTTTTAAACTGTTATTTACAGAGTGCTATATACCCATTCAGCTTTCAAGTGTTTTAGAGACTTATTTGTCTTTTTGAAAAAATCCTTCTTTAGAAATGTGGACTGTAGATGCTAACATTAGTGTTTGTGCTGCTGCCACATATTTAGCATTGAGATGCTATTTCAGGCTTGAGCCCTTGTGCGTGCGAGGACTGAGGCAAATGATACAAGTGATATGGGTGTGGGGTCGGATGGACCCCATTTGTAAACAGAAGGCGGTTCCTAAGGGTGAATAGTTTCACTGATAGGCTAACTCCTTTTAGCACAACTTTGACAGTTGTGCTGATCATTCCTGATCAGCATTTAAAAATAGTCTATTCTAATGACCCATCAGATTGTTTTGTGAAAGCTAAAATTAACCCCAGTCACCCGAAAGAAGTGATTTTTGTCTTGTAATGTTGCTGTTTGTGGATTTCGCTTGTGCGTCAGAATTACGGGACGTAACAAAAACGCACAAATACAAAGGTTCTGGTTGGAACCTTTATATTTAAAAAATAAAAAAATTTTAGTAACAAAAAAACCTGAAAGCCAATTTAATGAAAATTTTTAACATGCTAAAATCTATGTAGTAATTTATTGAAATGTTTGCATTAAAGTTCCAGCCCTAGAAATAATTGATTGTTTTGTAAAGAAAGCTAGCTAAATACTAGTTTGCAATCCATATTTATTTCTTGTTAGAAATGAAATATGGTTAGAAAATTCTTTAAATACATAATGATATATTTAGTCAGATGCGTTAGCTTCAGTTCTGATGCTGTCATAAAGAAAATTAATTTCCGCTGGTTATTTTGCTTGGATTTCTTTTTTTCTTTCTTTTCTTTTTTTTTACCTCGGAGTTCATGTGAGATTTTGTGTTATTTTTAGTGCTTTTTTACATTCTGACGTGAAAACCATGATATAAATTCAATAAAACAAAAGGTCTGCGAAGGAAAGTGAAGGATGCTGACATGGTGTTGACGGACATCTATTTAATGCAGTCTGGCACCTTTTTCTACAGCCGAGCAGTCATGTGGCGATGTGTCCCGCTATTTTTGAGTTTTGTGCGATTGTTAAAAGAAATCCATCTGTGGCAAGTGCCAAGTAATGTTAAAATGTGTAAAGCTGACTCACAGCTTCTGGCTGCAGTTCCCAGAAGGGAGTTGGGTGGAGGTGTGGATGGGGGTTCTCTGAACTGTGTCGTTCCTGATCAGCATTTAAAAAGCCCTAAACATGCATGCTTGGAGCGTTACAAAATGTTGCTGTGTGAGTTCTGCTTCAGAGAGACAGGTGTTGGCTCAGCGTGACAGCAGACGGTAACCCCTTGTCTCCTGGTACCTAACGAAGAGGATAACTTCTCTTCATGTAAAATATTTATTATACAACACTAGAATACATTCAGGGGTATAACATTCAAGAATGTGTTGTGACTACATGATCTGATGATGAATACAGTTTAATCTTTAGAGAGCATGTGGCACTAATAATCCAGGTAAATATAAGAGAAACTGGCTGTAAAATAAAGGGCACTTTTGCATTACTGTAGGATACATAGTGTGTACACTGTAAAGGATTTCTGTAAATTTACATAAATTTGTTGGTTCTGTACTGTTGTGAATTTCAACAGTATCTTCTTGTATTTCATAATAACAGTAACGTACTGTTAAATATTGACACTTAACATGTTAATTTACAGTAAACGTAACTGGTTAGGCAGTAAATAACTGTAATTCAAGTTGAATTAAACACATAATACAGTATTTTTTCTATGCTATGGAAAAATAGTCCTTTTCCTCCATTATCGGTGAGAATCTTTTCAAACCCTGTTGGCTGCTGGTTCTGTTCTGATAACATCACAATCAACTCAGAGGATGAGTTTTTGAGGGGACAAGACTTGTGAACTTGTGTTTGGACAACACTCTTCTGCTTCAGTCCACAAGTTCAGAAGGTTAAGATTATTCCTGAACTGTTTTGTATGTGTGGTTATTGAACTGCTCATATATCTTATATATTAGGCAGTATTTAGAACTTGACAAAGTTGCCAAAATTAAGAAAGGAGCTGCTAGTAATAGCTAACAGTGGAGCACTATAAGATTTGAGGTTATTTTGTCTTAGTTAATTTCATGGAAAGTTTTTCAAATGTAAGCTAACCTCTGGTATTTAGACCACAGACTTTTTTCATCCCCTTTTTAAGATATTTAGTTGTAAACGTTAAGACACTTACCAGTTACAATTTACAGATGAATGTAACTATTTTAGTTATAAAAACTCTTTACATCATTAAGTTAAACAAGGAGTTTTTTTTTTTTTTCAAAAGTGAGTGGAATACATATGTGGTCAATTAGTTATTTAGAAAAGAATTCAGCAGTTTTGAGCACCAGTAATTAGTTTGCACACTTGCTCATTTTAGCCTAGTGTTATTGTGATTGGCTTACGTAAGCTTCTGCATATGACATTTATGTTTCTAACCCAAGTTATTTTATTACACTACAACTGAAAATCTATTTTTGTTGATGAAGACAGAAATTTAAGTAGAACAAGACGATATCGTGTGACATGTGTGCTAAGACTTTCTCTGATACATTAAGTGACCCATATGCAGACCCACAGTTGAACACCTCATGCTTCTTTTAAGTGTGTTTATCCTGGATGTCACAGAACTTTCCAGAAGTTCAGAATATTTAAATCTCTGCCACTACTGTGGTCAATCAAGGTCAGCACGACATCGAGCTGTTGATTTAAATTGTCACTCCAGAATTAGATGCTTATCATAGTACACCAATGCAGAGAGACTACTGCTATGTTGCTCATGAGGACCTACTCGACTATTATCCACTGACAGAACACACTGTTGGAGAATGCCTCTTCTAATTCTTCATCATTCTCTCCCAACCTTTTAGAAGAATGTCTGCACTGGAAGAGAATCTCAAGAGGATTATGCTTAATACTTTGCTCAATATATCTATGGAGACACAATTACAATCTGTTTTCACGCTCCAGACATCTGGTATCAAATCTGTGGATGACCTGAAATATGTCAAACAGGAAGACCTCAAAGATCTGCTGCCAGTTATACAGCAGAGAAAATTACTGGAAGCCTTCAGGTAATTTACATCTTCCCAGCCATAGATTGTTAGACACATTCATTTTTATTAAAGTCATATCATTTATGTAAAAGGTCATGCCAATAATGATTGTCCTTTTTATGGGTTATATATTTAATTAATTTTAGGATTTGTTGTTTCAGAAACCAAGCCTGTGACTTCAAATCTCCACGTTATTCAGTGACTCAGATTCAAGTTCCATTCATCCCAGTTGCTCACTGTCATCCACCTCGTCACTTGCCAGGCCCAATGTTGCATCCTGGACATCAGCACATTCAACCCCAAACAGTGCCAACTGTGTACTTCCACAAGACAGGAAGTGACCTGATATATTTAAGTGCCATGGAACATTATCATAGTAATGAAACCTACTATGCTGTGCGCCTTGGAGAGAGTGCACTATCTAGGAGAAAGAGCAGGAAGTGGCAAACATGAAGGTGCTGAGATTTTTCTTGGAAGTGACTGTAGTGGTATAGAAATATACATAATTCCACACAAGTAGTTTCCAGGTGAGAAGTTCCGGTTCTTGAAGTGGGCGTGGTGTATATAAGGAGCTGCGGCGTTCATTCAGGCATGTGTCGTCTTTGTTCTCCCACTGTGTGGCTCGTGTCCTGTGGGCTCTGGCAGCGAAAAGCAACAAATCGTTGGCTGGTGCATGTTGTGCTGATATCCTGGTGGTAGGTGTTCTCTCTCCCTGCACTTTTGCTGATCTTGGTCAGAAAATCTATGTGTGATCATAGGTAAAACGCCACTGCGCTGCGCTCCTTCTCTTCCTCGTTCTGCGAGTGTGTGTGTGCATGTTTGTGGATCGGCAGGTAAGAAATTAACGCTCATCTAAGCTCCAGTTTGTTCCAGTTTTATTTAAAATGGTGACTAATTAATTTTCGCAGGTCCCCCACAGTTGGACCATTGCTGGTCTGCTCTGTCTGCATTGGTCTCCCGGATCTCTGTCTGTTTGCT